GCCACCAGCCTGGTGGGCTCCAAACTGGCCTGGTGCTACCTCAAGGGATCCCGGGTTCTGCTTGTGGACAGGAGCTGGGAACTGGCTGCTGAAGGCCAAAGAAACATGCCCCACCCCCTTCCGTGGGGGACACTGGTGTGAGGCAGGCCCCACCCCTCCAGCTCCCTCAGGGGTGAGCTATGTAGGGGAATGGGGAGAGGAGACGGGGGGCCTTGCCCAGGCTCTGCCACGGGGGAGGGTCGGGGTTAAATTTAACATGAGGTAGCCCTGGGGAGTGTGCCAGAGGGCAGAGCTCAGGGAAGAAGCATCTCGCAGAGAAACGTGAGGCTGCAGGCTCAGGACAACCCCTGGGTGCTGCTCACCTCCACCCCAAGCTCCTGCTGTGCCCCTGCAGTGCCTGCTCCACCCACATCTGCTGCTTCTGCTGGGCTGCAAGAGGCCCCATGCCACAGCTTGCCCTCAGGGTTCCCTGGGGCCCTCCCGGCTCTACACAGCCCCACTCACAATCTGCAGGGGGCGGAGGGACATCAAGTTCTCGCTGCTGTGGCTGCTGGACCAGGAGTCCCAGCGCGGAAAAGCTCCCTTCTCCAGCACAAACTGCTCCCCGCAGAAGGCTTGGCGCTCGAACCCGAGCCACCTGCAGGGAGAGGTCGGGCAGTGCTTGGGCAGCATGCACTCCACAAGGCCGCCCCACTTCCCCCCGCTTCTCCCCCTCCAGGCGGGACTGGGCTGGGGCTTTCAGAGGGAGGGTAGTAAGTCCCCCTCCTCCATTCAAAAAGCACCGCTGGGCAATGTCCCCTCTAATTTTTTTCATCCATGTGTGGAATAAATTTTGATGTGCACTGAGGCATGGTCAGATGTGCACCACCAGGAAAAAGACAAAACCTGGCTGTGGATGCTCTGCTAATCAGCTGGGTTGCATTGGAATCTCTCCTGGGTGGCCGCACAAACACCAGGCGTACAGGAACTGCCCTCTACCTCTGTGGGGCTCCCCGGCTGGCTCTCTGTACTTACGGGCCTGACTCTACCTGGACTGATCCCACTTTCTCCAGCGCTTCCTCGGTCACATTGGGACTTTCCTCCTTCAGCTCTCGTTTCCTGCCCTGGAAATTCTCCAGCTCGAAGATGGTGATCTGAAAGGAGAGGTGACACTCTCAGGCTCCGTGGATACAGCCTGGCCGGAGCCGGGTGCTACTGGCTACACAGGGCAAGCTAGACAAGATGTGAGGTGCAGGCAGAGGTTGAACAGGGAGGGGTCATAGCACATGCACTTGGAGGCATTGCTTCACCCCGTCTGCTCCTGTTGGCTGTGTCAGACAGGCGTGGACACTGGGCATTTCCCTGCCAGGAAGCCAGGCCTGGCACTAGTGAACTAATGCACATGGGCCATTTTGCATTCTCTCTCTCTGACACACACACATGCCCTCTCTCTCCAGTCACAAACAGCTGCAAAGCAGGCCGGGTGATTAAATCACCTTTTGCTGCTCTTGCTAGTCAGTCTTCTTCCAAATGAACTGCCCTTTCCTAGTTCTGCAGCCAACTGTTCAGTATCCCCAGGTCTGGCCAAAGAGTTTGCAGGGCCCAAGGTGGCACATTGACAGTGGATGTTCTAGTTTAAGTCAAACCCAGTTCAGGCTGGGCTATGTCACCCCTCGGCAGCACAAGTCACTCACTGGACATATTCTAGGGATGTGTAGTTGATTAACGGATAAGCAAAAGCTCACTGGTTAATGCTGTTGATGACACACTTTTCCCCCACCCTATGCCAGTACATTTTTTAGCAGGCTGGCCAGCAAGTCCTGGCTTGCACTGGGTCCTGGACCTACCCCTGCTGCAGCTCTGCATTTAAAGTGCATTATGAGCCAGGCAGGCAGGCAGCCCAGCTCAGTTCCAGCTCGTGCTGGGTTTGGGAGCT